GCTTGAGCCACAAGTGCCGAGCCCACAATTATTTTTCTAATGGCCAGTCTATTTATGGCTCTTTCCTTCTCAAAAATCTCCTATTGCTCATACTCAATTAAACATTGTAGGACCAGGAACACAACAGTCATGAAGAAAAAAGAATATCCATGTTGTATATGCTAGATAGACACCAAAGGAAAAGAAGAGAACTTTAAACTGACTTCACAAAGAAGATGAATGTCTCTTTGAAAGAGAAAATGGTAGGAATAGGTGAATTTTTCCCCTCATAAGTAAACTTAGCAACACAATTTAACTGATGATGTTGGCTTTCTCCCACATGAACTTAAACATAAAGGTCACGGACCCTGGACAACTGGCACAGAAGACGTCATACCCTGGCAACACTGAAACCAAGAAGATTCCTCTTTACTATTCTGCCTACCCTGTCTCCTCTCATGCCGTGGTCTTTGCATGGCAACAGCACTGAGTGATTTGTACTGGGGATCAAGGCACATCCTTTGCCTATAAGAACTCCCCTGGGGCTAAATGTGGTGGCTTTAGGTTGTGGCTGTAATAATGCTATGTGTTCTATTGGCAGAAACTCATTTTTGTTAAAAAGAAAAAAAACACAAAAGGGCGAGTAACACAGTGAAGAGGGAATTCAACAGAAACACAGGTCTGACTTGAGCTGATGGAGGAACTCTAACTCTGTCCAGTCATCTGAATGAATAACACCATTCCTGCCCCCGACCTCCAGAGGGCCAGAAGAGCAAGCCGAAGAAGAAATGGCAAGTGGAGGGGAAAGAAGATTTTCAAGTAAGATTCTTGAGACAGGGAACTATTCAGGGCTTTAATTTCTTTTTTGAAATTTATGAACTGGGAGAGGTTCATATCTAGGTTCACTCTCTTATGTTGCTGACATGTTAGCTGAAGCACTTTTCAGCTGCTCTGTTTGCTTATAATTTTTTTACTTTTATTACATAACAATATAGTTAAACATAATGTGAAATAAGAAATAGTATTAAACATTTTTTAATCACCTATCAGGCACCATTCCAAGTGCTTCCCACATATTAACCTACTTAAGCATCCTGACAATACTACCAGGTCAGCACGAGCAACAGTCCCATTTTACAGGGGAGGAAGCTAAAACACAAAGTTTGAGTTACATAACAGACGATTCTTAACTACAAATGTTCAGCTTTGAGTGCGCTGTAGCTGTGAAGTTGATTCATTTCATTAGTTGCTCTCTATGACCCACTTCAGAGCCTTCTGTGGGCAAGGAAGTGCCAACCCATGGTCCCAGCTAGAGTAACTAATACTATCAGAGAAATGGCAAAGCAGGTCCTGATAAAGTGCTGGTCTCTTCTCCCAAAAGATGACTACCCCATGGGGTGACCCAGTCAGACTGGCAAATCCAGGTGGTGAAAAGAACCAGGGGCATGGTGTCTCAGGTCTATAATCCCAGCTAATCAAGAAGCTGAGGTGGGAGGATCACTTGAGCCCAGGAGTTCAAGGCTGCAGTGAGCTATGAGCGTGAATGCCACTGCAAAGAAGAAGAAGGAGGAGAACCAAAAGTCAGAATGTCTAGGAAGAACTCTCTTTTCTCTTCAGGCTACTTCCTCTATCCATAAAATAGGAATATTCTCTTGGATTTCTTGAGAGGAAAACTGTCTGTCTGTTCTGTGTGTCTTACCTGCCATTCTTCACAGGAGAAGTGACTACTCTCAGTGCCGCTACTGGAAAATGGTCATCACTGCCCGCGGACAGTTAGCCATAGAGCACAGAGGTGAAGAGCATGGGCTCTCAAGCCAAACTGCCAGTGTAAACCCCAATTCTACTGTTTGCAAGCTGCATAACATGGGAAATTTCTTTTTTGGGGGGGCAGTGCCTCAAGCTATCCCCCCGGGGTAGAGTGCCATGGCTTCACAGCTCACAGCAACCTCCAACTCCTGGGTCAAGCGAGTCTCCTGCCCCAGCCTCCCAAGTAGCTGGGACCACAGGCGCCCGCCACAACGCCCGGCTATTTTTTGGTTGCAGCTGTCATTGTTGTTTGGCGCGTCTGGGCTGGGTTGCCACCTTAGGTGTATGTGGCTGGCGCCTTAGCCACTTGAGCCACAGGCACCGAGCCACATGGGAAATTTCTTAACCAATCAAGACCTTAGTCTCCTCATCTGTAAAACTACTACAGAGTAGAGGTGCCTCTTAAAAGATTACCTAATAGAAAGTAAATGTTCAATAAGTGTTAGCTATTAATATTGTTGCTATTTAAACTCTCAACATGACCTGCCTCACACCTTCTCCGGACTCTGCCTCTTCTGTGCACAAGCCTACTAAGATAGGTTCAGCCCCTGAGGAATAAAACCCTAAAATAGACAACACCTCCACCTGGGCCTGGAAAGGTAAGTTCACAATGAAGCAAAGCAAATAAGTCAGAGCCATGCAGCTATTGGTGGCAGAGCTGTAACAGTGTCAATAGGGTTCCCCTGAGGCTTGGCGCTGTTATAGCACAGCAAGTCCTCGAGAGAGAATTGGGTTCTAGGTCATTATAATGGCATCTCGGGCAGGCCCACGAGCAGCAGTGACTCACAGCACTGGGAATGCATTACCAAGCACTAATAGATGAGTTCTGAAGAATGACAAGCTTGTTGGACCCTCACTTCATTCTCCTCTTTAAGTCCCTACTTAAAAGAAACAACCCAAGGTGTTTTCATGCCTGCCCTGAGCAGAAACATTGCCCTTGGGGGTATGAGGAGGATACATTTGGGACCTGAGAGAAGACGGGACCCTCAAGAAGCGGATCTCCATGCATCGTCATATGGCTGCTGCTGGTTGCCAAGAAGAGCATGGGCCAACTGAAGCTCTTGCTTCATGATTAGGTGGCCATGCCCTATCACTAGGAATACCTGTACTTGCTGAGCATTTTGCCTTCTTTCTTGGTCCTTCTCTCCTTCCCTCACAACAACATTAGCGACCTGGTACTTTCCATGATCAGCATGGCGCTCTTTTCCATCACTCCTCTCATTTATGGCAGCACAGAGATGTTCCCTGCTGCACAGCAACTCCACCACCATGGCAAGGCCTACTGCTTCCTTTTTGGTTTTTCTGCTGTCTCTATCGTGTACCTGGTGTTGGCGTTGGCAGTCCAAGTGCACACCTGACAATCTAGAAGCTCCTAGATTCTTGGTTCACCAGCACACAGGAGAATCTGCATAAATAAAGCCTGCCTAATGGACTGCTCTGTGGGGTGAAGCCTGGGACTCCCACTGAATGGAGGGATAGTCTAAAATCTCTTCTGGTGGTTTTAGCAGCTGTGATGCAAACCAGACCACATTTCTGCAAAGCCCCTCCTCTTGCCATTTGCTGAGGTGGCAAACCTATATTTAATTTATTCCTGGTTAGCTAGAACTAGATGACCAATGGCTATGAAACAAACTTCAGCTAACTGAAGCTGAGGCCCTTCAGGGTTTAAGACTGAGACTCATCCTTGCCTCATCTTGGTCATTCTCCCCAGTTCCATCTATTACCTCTTAGCCATTGACGCTGAAGGAAATAGAATATCAAATTCTATTTTAATATATAGAATGACTATATAGAATATATAGTCATATATAGTCACATATATTTTATATATGACTATATAGAATATATAGTCACATATATTTTATATGTGACTATATAGAATATATAGTCTATATACAGAATGAATATATAGAATATATAGAATATATAGGTCATGGGTCAGGAAACATTTGGAAAGCTGCTCCCCCTGCAGGCTATAGCCTCTTGTGCAAAGCATTTTAATTCAAAAGAACCCTCAATAATGTCCACAACAACAACAAAAAAAGACAAAGATTAAAAAATTCATAAATGAAATGAAATAAGGATGATGCCTATAGCTAAGTGGTTAGGGCACTGACCACGACACCAAGGCTGGCGGGTTCAAATTCAGCCTGAGCCAGCTAAAACAACGACAACTGCAACAACAATAAGCAAAAATAGCCAGGCATTGTGGCAGGCACCTGTAGTCCCAGCTACTTGGGAGGCTGAGGCAAGAGAACTGCTGAAGCCCAAGAGTTTGAGGTTGCTGTGAGCTGTGACGCCACAGTACTCTACCCAGGGTTAACAGTTTGAGACTCTGCCTCAAAAAAATAAATAAATAAGAAGCTCATTTTAGACCTGGATCCAGGCCACATATTCCTATATCACTTTACCAGCGATACGGCTAACATTTAGATGTCTAATTGGCACCTATTGCATGTATTTTTTTATTAATCTGAACTCAAAGGAGAAAAGATGTGATTAACTTCCAAACCCTAACATTAAAAGATGTACGATACTTATACCCAAAAGAATAGAAATTACACAAGTCCAAAAATCAAGGTACCAAAAATGCCTCTTAAATGTCAAGGGGAAAAGGGACACCAAAAAGAAAGCACGTGTAATTCATACGCAGAATGCAAAGTGTCCTTACATAGGCATTAACTCATCAGTGGGGTGAAAAGACATTAAAGCAAAAATATGCAAGACAAGGCATGCTTACATGACACCAATGTGGCCTTACATAAATGATACTGACAAGCTTCCTAAGAATGAATATATAAGTACGCAATCAGAACAAAAATAGTTTTAGTTATCTTTGCAACTCTTTTGCCAAAGGACCATGGTATTTAGGATTTGAAAAAGCCTCAATTGGTTGACAACTTGAGGTAGCCTCTGAGGCAAATTTGCCCCAAGTTCAGTTGCTGGGGACTGGGGGACTCTCAGGCACTTACTACAGAATTCCGCGTACTCAGCTGGCAGGAGGAAGGTCTGAGGGAGGATGTGAAAGGCCTTGAATCCATGTGTATGTTGCATTCGAATGATGTTTTTGTACAGTCGGTCCTTCCGGGTTAGTTCATAAGACCTAAAAATCAAAAAAGTATTTCTATTTCAGTAAATTAAGACTCAGAAGTTTTTCTATGTTATCACATTCTAAAGAGTTCATAGTTCACAGTACTGGAGCAGTTACTGAATTATATCCTAAATGTATCATTGTTTTAATTCTAAAGGTTTATTAATTGTTTTTGTTCAAATGGATTTTTTTGGTCAAATCTATGAAGATGTAACTTATATACTGCAAAATAACCCTTTTAAGATATAATCCCATGAGTTTGGACAAACATGAATATGTCATCAGCACCAAAATGAAGATAAAGGACAATTCTGGCATCCCAAAAAATTACCTCCGGTCTCTTTGTAAGTCAACCCTTCCAGTCACCTCCAGTAAATATTCCTCTGTCATCTATTTTTATAATTTTGCCTTTTTTAGAAAAGCAAATAAATGGAATCATATAACTTATGTCCTTTTGAGACTACCTTTTATTCCTGAGCATAGCACATTTGAGATTTATCATTGTTCTTGTCTGTGTCAGTATTCTTTTTTTTT